TGCAATGGGGTGAAGTTTAATTCACTTGGTATTGTTTTACTTGAATCTTCCCATTGATGTGTTTTAACGCGATGGCGTTTGAAGCGAACGGTACTGAGTTCGAGTCCCAGAGTGAACATCAACTCTGGAATGTGGTAGGCACATCCGGCTGACGAGTCCCAAATAGGACGAAACGCGCGTCCTGGATTCCACTGCTAGCCACTATCCATCTTATAATGAATTGCTTATTGCTTTAAAATAACATTAGTTATACTATGATTCATAGAATAATTTAACATCTTAATACTTTCGGACTAATCATTATTATTATTTTTATTATTGTTATTAATTACTGTTATTAATTACCTCTCAGTAGCCTAATTTGATAGCATTACAGATTACATAACGGCAAATCAATATTTGTCAATATAATAAAACGACAGAGATCATTTCTAAATCATACTAAACAATGCATTACTCAGTTAAGATAGTGAAGTTTTATAGTTCAGCTAAATGATATTGATAATGTGTCATTCCTTCAGTTCTAAGAACGAAAAGTCATCAAATTCTAATGGAGTTAATTTCTCTGAGCTGGATGATTTGATCGTGGAGCTTTCATCGTTCTTCTGAACGATATCATCAGCACAAACAAGAACGATGAAAGCTCCATGACCAAACCATCCATCTCAGAGAACAAAACTTCATCCGAATCATCCACCTGAGCTACAAATCTTCACCATATCAAAAAAGTTATGTTCAATAATGATTGAAATTATGTGTAGTATATAATACGTGATAAGATTGTATGGCATTATGAAATATTTCGAAAATTGTAAAGATTATGTTGACCATATGATGTTAATGGATTCTTTAAAATGGTTTTGAAGAAAGTCATTGAAAATGCGATATTATATGAACTAATCAAATGGATCGAGTAGCTTTATTTTAATAAGAATACTTAAGCTTGATTTAATATTTCAGGATTAAAAAGCGGCAGATGATAGTTTCATAATAAAAATGCAGATTACAAGTTGAATTAGTAAGATGATGTAAACATTGCAAATCATTCAATTAAATATTCTTCAAAGAATATTTCAGCGAGCAATTGTTTTCAATAACTTCATCATTAGGTTCTACAATTATGATTCCATAATTATTACGATATTTTACTAAGGTTAAAATAAGGCATGTGTTAATGAATTTGACAATGTTATATGTTAAAATTGGTGAATGTTTGCATCTATTACGAAATATGTACTTCGAAATTGTGTTATTTGTAAACTAGAAAGGTCATTTAATAAAGGTCAGAATAATTTGTAGTAAAGTATCAAGTCATAATCAGTATGATAGTATTATAGCATGAATGTAAATGCAAAAAATCGTGTGAATAAAATGCATAGTAGGAGAATTTCCATTTGTCAATTGAGATAATAATGATAATAATTTTGTGTAGAATTGTTATATCTGAAGATAACTTTCATCATGAGTTTACTACAGTAAGAAAAACATTGAAGATCAGAGAGCAGTGGACAATTATTTCATCCTAATTTGGCTCTCCCCAGTAGTTTGAATCCATAACTCCACATATGAATAACAACTTTATCATCGGGTTTCATAGCAAGAATGATTTGCTTAAAATACTGTCACTGAAGGTATGGCTTTAAATTTTCAACGTCAGTCTGTACTCGATATGAAATGCTCTAAGCTCAGTGTTAAAAGTACACTGGCTCGATATCATATAGTAACTGATATTGTCAATATAGATCATTGGATTTAGATTGAATCTTTTCCTATTTTCCTCCTTAACACAATACCTGAAGGTCATGTATTCATCTTTGTGTACAGTTGAAAATGTATGATGTTACGTCCTTGATCTATCTACACAATAATATACAAGAAAGAACTTGTCTCGATCTAGATTAAGGCCAAGATATGATAGGCTAAATGATTTAACCTTGAGGCTAGAAATGTATGGGTCTGAATAGAGAACAACATCCTTGAGCAGAGAGACGAAAGCTATTCTACAACCTGACTGGTTGATGGGAGGGTGAGGTATGACTAGTGAACTAGTGAACTCAGCTTATTCCCGATCCCGATTCAGATTTAGTCACACCATTCCCATCTTACTTTAGTAGGCCCCCAATATTTCGACATAGAACTTCTACATTGGTGATCTACAACCTCTTCCCCATTCCTGTTACATACTCTTTAATTCTGTCAACTTGATGGAGATTTTATTCACACTCAGATAAATATAGTGGTTAACACATTTCATTGATAAGCATCTCTGTTGTGTGTCAAGATGTTTGTTGTTTGATAAATTCTTTCTTCGTATGCTCTTTTCATGTGTACACACTAGAGCACTTAGAAGGGTGATTTGTTATAGTACTTCTAGGGCTTCTTACCATCTGCTTCCATATTTCCAATATCAGAATATTTCCATCTCAATACCGAATTATTTAGCCAAGTTTTTCAGTTGAAAACCTGATCTATAGAATACAGTTAGTATCAAGAACGAGAAAAAACAGTAATTACACTACCCAGTAGTAGATAAATGCAATTAATTCAACTAAGGACTGAATGGCTCAGTGGTGATGGTTCCGATTGACCCACTGATTAAAGCACACTTCAGCCTCCAATAAGAATCTAAATAAACTTTATTGACAAGTATTAACCAGAGCGAAATGTAGGTATGTATTTATTTATTTGAACACATAAATATTGGTACAAGAGAGCGCCAATATATATGCGCCACACAAAACAATGAAAATTCGAAGAGAGATAGAAAAAAACTAAGGAGCGCAAAAGAAAAAGAGAACAATAACGAAGAGATTGGTGTAAGGTAGTGTGGTCGTAACGATGGAACGGAAAGGTACAATCAGAAGAAATCTTTCAAGTAAGGGAGACACAGCCACTTTTTATGAAGAAAGTAAAAGAAGGTTACAGCAGGATCGCCACTGGCTTCTATTCTGAGCCATATCTGATAACGTCTCTAGCCACTGTGTAGCACCATCTCTCAGACCCCAACCAGGGAGTCGTGAAGGACCGACAGAAGCCAGTCCTTTGCAGCTTTCTTTCATACCACGACACCATGTCATGCACTGACCACCTCTCCGCTTTTTCCAACCAGTCCCAGAGTCGGCAAATAATGCACGACGTGGAATTCTCCGGGACGACATTCGTAGAACATGTCCAAGCCACCGAAGTCGGTGTTTCAAGATGGTGACACCAATTGAATTATCATCTCTGTGCCCAAACACACGATGCCGAACCTCTGCATTACTGACATGGTGTTGCCACTGAATGTCAGCAATCCTTCAGAGACAGCGATGATCGAACACAGAGAGTCGTCTAACGTCCTCAACTCGGAGGCCAGGTTTCACAACCATAGAGCAAAACTGCTCTCAACGACGCTTTGTAGATCCGACCTTTTACAGCCAGACTAACATCACGAAGGCGCAAAAGATGGCCCAGATTGGCATAAGCCACTCTGGCTTTCACTATACGTGCATTGATCTCATCACTCACACCCCCACCAGCACTTATGCAGCTACCCAGATACACGAACTTCTCGACTACGTCTATCTGCTCACCATCCAGGGTGAGTACAGGACTGGAATCCTGTCAGTCTTGTAGAAGTACTTTGCACTTCGAAGGTGCAAAGCACATACCATACCTACGGACACTGATTGCCAACTGATTAAGTGCGGATTGCATGCCTTGGGCATTATCGCACAGTAAGACAATATCGTCCGCATACTCAAGGTCGAGAAGTCTTTCTCCAGGCAACAGATCTACACCACCATTACTTACATTCATCAGAGCTGTTTCCAGAATGTCATCGATGGCAAAGTTGGAGAGGAATGGTGAGATTGGGCAACCCTGCCTAACCCCACTACTCGAATGGAACAATGGAGAGAGGTGGTTGTATGCCCTCACCCACTGATTAAAGCACACTTCAGCCTCCAATAAGAATCTAAATAAACTTTATTGACAAGTATTAACCAGAGCGAAATGTAGGTATGAGACATTCTAGAAGCTTTCTCCAAACGTTTTACTATATTTTAACTGTCATTCGGTGACACATTACATAAGCCACACTTGTTTCAAATGATTTGTTGAGAAAATAAAGCATTTAACTACCGAATGCTTGATATGGGATTTGTCAATTTTTCTCCTTCCAAATAGTTAAATCTACACCCTAAGTATTTTATCATCCTGATTCAGGCTGTTTGCAGTGTAACGATTAACTAATTACCGAATCTCTCAGCCAAACTTTACGTAGAACAAGGACCATCTGTAAATCGTTTCAAGTTGCCATATCTCATTATAACAGCAAAATAGAACTGTCGGGACAAGTCTAGGAGTAATAGAGATAATAACAGTATTAATGGTAGAAGAAAAGATTCGGCATCCACGATACAATTCGATAAAATACTAATTAGTGTAGTTATAGAAAAAAATCATGGGGAATTTAGAAGCTTATAATCTAAAGGAGAAAAAGTGTTAGAATACATGCACATATCACAAATGTTTCTTGTAAAACAGTATCCTGAAAGCCAATTTTAAAATCTACCAAAAACAGAGTTTTAGATGTTTAGATATTATACTCGTGGATTAAGATTTTACCGATAGGAAAAATATTATAGCCTTGCTTCTAATCACCATAATATCGTTGGTGAGATGTTAACAATGAATAATATTTATTTTAAAGTAAACGGTTAAGTACTTTTAGAGTAAGCACTGACAGGATTAAGTTTTAGTACTATCAGTGTCTACTTTTGTCCATAATTTTAATCGAATCGACTGAATAAAACCTCTATCTTGAGCATAGACGTAGGCGCAACAATATTTTTGAAAAAAACTAATCTAGTAAACCAATCAAAGAGTAATGCTAGATTATGGTGATCAAATGGTTCTAGTTCAATCAACAACACGACTAGGCATGGTGTGAATCTAAGCTACTGTGACCATGTACCTAACTCATATCTGATTGGTTAATTAATTTATACACTTATGTGAATAAATATATAATCGTTTAATAGACTGATTTCTAGTCATGACTTTTCATACATAAATTCGTTATTTGGCTGACAATAATCTAGTGTATCATAGTGAAAATGACAGAGAAAAAAGCTGTGATTAAGAATGCTGATATGTCAGAAGAAATGCAAGCTGAAGTAGTGAAAATTTGTGTTGAAGCATTGGAAACATATAACATTGAGAAGGATATTGCTGCTTTTATTAAAAAAGAATGCGACAAAAGATACAATCCAACCTGGCATTGCATAGTTGGCAGAAACTTCGGCAGGTAACTGATGTTCGGTTTTCAGTCGTTTTATTACTTAGTTTGTTTCTGGTTCTGTATACGTTTTTTATGTGGGTATAGTTTAAGATAGGTCAGTAAACCGTAAGTAGTTAGTTCGAACCCATTTACGATTTAACATGTCATCGTCATTCAATAATGAATAGCTCAATATACTCATGAAAAGTTATTTTGGAATTGATGAACTTATAAAATATTTTAGAAACCGGATTATTTGTCACTTGATGGTGCATAATATTTGAAAACTTACTTGGGCCTGTTTTACTAGTTATTGATTCTCTTAGTGACATTTCGTTCAATTATCATCTCGTTACCTAAGATTGCGCTAAAATATTAGCGTTGCAGAGATGGACAAAAGTGGTATGAGTAGAAATAAGACCAAACTAAGGACGCATTACCAGTCATTCTTGTTTGAACTCGTTATAAGCATCTGTAGTCTCGCTTTGTAATCCTTAATTCATTTATGTTCTCAGTTGTGTTTCTTCTAATAGATTATAATTTTTTTGTAAATAAATGACCCCACAGTTATTCTCTTGGGTGTTACAATGTATTATTGTTTTAGCATTTAATTAGCCACTAACCAATTTTAGTTTAGCATGTCTCACCATATCCCCTAATACTTCCTGTTAGTACATAATGTGGTGGTAGCGAGTAATTACATCCTATTTAGTCTATAAATTTGTCGTGTTTCGAACGATGAAACGAATATATTCCTTCTAATATAAGAAAACGAACCTTTACTGTCAGATCATTTTGTTATGTCCCCACTTAACTAGTAATTTGACCTAAAGGACATAGGTCATGTTTTAGTTTTACCTTTGTCTCAACCTTGAAACATTTTGTTATTAAACAGGAATAATCCAATCGCTAACTATTTTTGCCTTGAACTAAGATTGGTTGACAATTAAAGTAATAAGAATCTAGTATTAAGCCGGTTTCAATAGCATTTCCTCATCCAGATGGTTGGTACTTTATTTGACCGGTTCTTTAAAAACCGTTAGTAGACTATCAAAATTTAAAAACGGGTTAATTGAAGTTGTCAGTATGTAATGTGCTATTAAAAAAAATTAACATATCAGTTAATCTATAAACCAGTTATTTAGTTTTCGAAATGTCTGATGGCTAATATCACTCGGACTCATTATTTTTGCTTCTTTTGCAGCTACGTGACCCATGAAACCAAACATTTTATCTACTTATACCTTGGACAGGTCGCAATTCTTGCTTTTAAATCTGGATGATTGATTTTTATAACCTATACATAAAATCCTAAATTAATTGTTTCTTTTTTACTATCTTTGTCGTATCGACCAGTTGTCTTACGTCTAAATAAGTCAGATAAAAATCAATAGAATTATTAAACTAGATTCCAATTTTTCTTTACCATACTGATGGGAGGATTTATGTCGTAATGTTAACAAAGTTACTACTAATGACCTTTTGCAAATTGGTGGTGAAAATATGTATGATTTATCTCGGTAACATTTTGTGAAGTGATTCTTAAGCGCTAGATAATGTCATACAAGTATCTGCTCTGGTTTCAGCCTCAAATATTGATGGATGTGCACTAGGAAACTATATGTCGATGGCTGCAGGGAATAAATGTACACCAATCAGAAAAATACATATCACAGTCGATTATAGTTTGTATTCAACATGTAGTCAACCATAGTGTTTATGTAAATCAGGATTGAGTATGATGCATTTGTTCTGTCTGAGTAGGGTTGGATTTGTGGCTGGTCTTGAAAATAGTTCTCGCTATTGGTTGTGACTGAGAACATACTGCATAAGATAGGAAAGTAATGCAAGCTTGAAGGAATATGATTGTTGTGAACATAATATAGTGTATGTACAACCAGTTGAATATGTCAACAGATGGGTGCGGTTGTCTTAAAAAATTGCTTTCATAAGATTTTGGTGTCAAAGTTTTAAAAACGGACAAACAACTGGAGAGTAGCAGGGACGTATGAATCCCACAAACATACGGGAAGTTTACTAGTGTCAGGTAAATGTTAGAAAACGGGATTTCTAGCTGGTAGTCATATTTCTCAGTTCATATATCTTGATTTAACGATAGGTGTATTCTACATCTAAGTGGTTTTTTAGATGCAGGTGTAATTAATCTCCACAACAATTTAGGATCTAAGCTCTGCTTTGGGAATACTCATTCCTGTTAGAAATCTCTTTGAAGAAAAGCCCAGATAGATGTAGGACGTAAATTAACAATATGCAAAGTACGACGTTATTTCTAATCCACTTACTTACGCCTGTTACCCCCGGTGGAGAAACAGGTCGCTCACCAGTGCTTTCCATCCAACTCTCTTGTGATATCCTTTCCAGTTGCCATTCGTCCTATTCATACCAACTTCTAATTCTCGGCTCATTGTGTACTTTGGCCTTCCGTTTCTCTTCAGGATTACAAGTTAGTGCTTGACTCGTTGTGCAGTTTAATAATTTCTTCAATGTACGTCCTAACCATGTCTAACGTCTTTTCCTAATTTCCTCTCCCGCAGTAGGATGTTACTGATGATATCTGGTCAACGGACATGGAGTATTTTGTGTTGACAATTGTTTATAAACACTTGTACTTTTATGATGATGGTTATAGTAGTTATCCAAGTTTCACCTTTGTACAATAGTACTAACTGTCTTGACGTTCGTACTGAAGATTCTCGCCTAGATGTTGACTTGCAGACGGTTGTTTTGAGTTCTATATATTCTTCAACCGTAGAAATTGAATTGATTGTTCAACGATGATCATCCATAGTGTTGCGATTTGGTCTGTGCACAACAGATCGTTACGGAATGCGTCGGGTTGATCTCGAAACTGAGCGTCTACTGAACCTCTCATCAGGTTCGAAAACACTGTCGAACACGTTTCCTGGTATCGGTAGTAGTGTGATGCCTCTGTTGTCCTCACATTTGCTCGGATCTCCTTTCTTTGTAATTTTGATGAGGTGTCCTTCTTTCCAGTCCATCGGCACTTGTTCCTCCCCCCGAATCATCTTGAATAGAAGGTGAAGCATGTTTGTAGTTACTTTGATATCTAACTGCAGCTGGTATATTTTCAGGTCCTGTTGCTTTCCTGCTCTTAATTTGTCTGATGTCCATTCTGACTTCTTCCGTCGTTGGTGGATTGACATCTATAAGAAGATATGTGTGTTGCTTCGATGTCCGGTGGATTTAGTGGAGCTGGTCTATTCAAGAGTTCCTCGAAGTATTCCACCCCTCTGTTCTTGAATATCGGTAATTGTCTTGCCTTTGTCCTTGACCGGTTTCTCTGGTTCACTATATTTCCCTGCTAGTTTCTTCGTTGTATCATATAGCTGTTTCATATTTCCATCTCTTGCAGCATTTTCCTCCCTCATTGCTGGTGCTTCCACACATTTCTGCTTGTCGTCTCTAATGCTCCTCTTCATTTGCTGGTTTGCTCTTTCTCTGTTCTTGTTTGGCTGTTGTTAATTGCTGTCTTTTTGTTCTTCCTTTCTGACACAGTTTGTGAATCTCCATCGACTGGACAAATTGACAGATGGTGAAGTAAGTGTTTAGGAGTCATCTTGGCTAAGTCTGTATTTTTGGTTAATGGTAAACGGTCTACTCGTGGATAGGATTCCGGAACTAACGATGGTAAGAGATTTCTTTGAGCCCAATATTTAGCAGTCAGATTACACAGAAACTGAGGTCCAGGGGATCAAACGAGACCAGTGAAGTTAGAGGTTAACATAACGAAACAGTCGACAGCATACATACATGAAGATGATCAAAACTGCGAAACCAGATGATGGGGATGAACTGCCCTAAAACCTGTAGAATACTTCTAAAAAACTAACTTCAATCTGAAGTAGTTGTTAGTGATATTGATCATTTAGAATAAGGGCTGCACGTTATAACCAACTAAATGTAATATTGCCATAAAGATAAACCAAACATCTTAATCTTGTGTATGAGACTAGTTCTCTTGTGAAACAGTCATAATATTTCGCTCAAATAGTAATGAATGATCACATTATATGTAACGGGATAGTAGACGCACAGTTGACTGGAAAGTTCTTGAAATGTTGGGTAGAGAAAGTACCAAGAACATCCGAGAATTCCTAGAAGCTTGGCACTCAGGTCAATCAGCAATCAACCAAAACATTGAAATCAATCCAATTTATCAATAAATCGGAAAAATCATGGACCAAGAATCAAATCAAAGGGAGAGACTACCAAAATAAATATAAAGACAATGACAGGTTTAAGGTCAACAATAGTCAATCAAGGTCGACAGAATAGCTATTAGTCATATGTGAAGAAATCCGAATACTTCACTTCTACCTGAAGTTAATGCTAACGGTTTTGTTCAGAAGAACAGTGAAAGGTCCATGATTAAACCAAGCACGTTAGAGAACGAAACTCCACTAAAATCATCTTCCACAACATTAAAGAAGTATGTATTTGTAAAATTTCAGCGAATGAATTTGAAGTAAATCCAACGTTTCTCCTGGCAATCTGGTCAAAGCTTTTCCAGGGAATTATAATCAAACATCAAAATTATCGAATATAAGTAGATACACGGTTCTCCGGTTCACTGTTTACTGAAAAGGTCATCTAATCAACGTTAACAATGTTTAAAATAGGTATTTGCAATATTGTGTAAGACATGTGTGAAACGAAGTGTTAAGATAACAGATTGTGTGTATGCGTAAGTGAGAAGAATTTTCATTCATTATATATTGTCTTTGGTCCGTGAATATTAAGAAAACTTTCACTTAGGTATACACATAATCTGTTATCTTAACACTTCGTTTCACACATGTCTTACACAATATTGCAAATACCTATTTTAAACATTGTTAACGTTGATTAGATGACCTTTTCAGTAAACAGTGAACCGGAGAACCATGTACCTACTTATATTCGATAATTTTGATGTTTGATTATAATTCCCTGGAAAAGCTTTGACCAGATTGCCAGGAGAAACGTTGGATTTACTTCAAATTCATTCGCTGAGATTTTACAAATATATTCTTCCTCTTTAATGTCTCACATCAACTCAGCGCCCAAATACTGTGAAATCATTCGATCAAATTTAGACGAAAGCTCTTATTCGTCTTCTACAACCTTTAAAAATGATACTATAACCACTGGATAAGTTAATTACTATTGTACTCAGAATACTAGTGGATAACTGTTTGGTTCTTGAAACGACTGGCACTGTTTGGGACTCAATATGAACATCATCACTTGGATAAGATTACATCCAGCTAAGTAGTCCTAAACAGGATTAAACACACATCTTGCATTCAACTGCCAGTCACGATATGGAAATTTTGATTCAATGAATTGAAATCGAATAATGAAATTAACAATTCATAACTAATTTTCATCTAACTATTGTCACTTTTAGCCCTTTTGATTATCACGTAATAAAATCGCCAATCAGGACACCATCCTAGCACATTCTTATCACTGTGCAAAACCAATAACGCATTGACCAGTACGAGCAGCCTAAAGTCCTTATTTGTCCTTTTTGTCTAGTCCTGCCTGTTCAGTTCGGAACACTAATATTATCTTACACCATACGAATAACATATTTCAAATATACTTGGTTTATGTACAAGTAAACCAGATCACATCATACCATAAAATAAAAATTAACAATAATACAACATCAAGCCAAAATGTGTCTGTGATTATGAGAAACAGTAACTAATAAATTAAGAATAACTTAAGAATAGTAAATCGTATAACTGTAGTCGATATGTCAAATAAAAGCTTATTATAAAAGGAATATAAATATATACAATCTAGTTACTTAATAGTTATATAATAAGAATGTATATATAATAACAATCTGTAGATAATTCCCAGAAGTTACCCATAATTTAACCTTCGTTAGGATATTTCACTAACGACTACTCTATATATAATATATTATATGTCAACACACGTATATTAACAATCAAAAATCTTAATTGTATTTAGCATTCTCATTCTTTCTTTTTGATTAGATGAATACATTAGATAGTAGTTATGTTTTTAGCATTACAAACATATCCCATTACATAAACCCTATTGTTTAAGTATATATTTTAATGATAGTTTTCAATTCTATAGTCTGACCAGTTGTCTCTTTATTGTGTTTTAGCAGTACATTTTCATGGAATATTTGTCTGTCCTAAACATATTAATCCATTTAAAGTAATTTTATCAGTTTAATCAATAACAGAAAGGGGTTTTATGGAGATTTTAGTAATCAATAACACCTACTAAAAAAGGATACCTCCTATATAATTGGCATAATACATTAAAACGAAAGAGTGAATATTTCACAGAAAAAAATATTTTTTTCTTACATAATTATTTCTACCATTTTGCATAACAT